TTATTATTATTATTATTTATAGGGGGGAAACTAGATAGCAAATGGTCGAAATGCTAGAAGATTATGCTAAAACCAATTGTTAAGTAACAATTCTTAAATTAACATTTCATTTATATGGTAGGATTACTCTAGTTGACTACTAATAATTGGATTTAGCCCATTGTTTAGAAATAGGCAGGTGACAATGCCATAGCATGATTTACATTTCTAATCTAATTTTGTGTGGAATTTGCACAAAAAAGTGACTGAGCGCTAAAACGATGCCGCTGCCGTGCAAGAATTTCAAAGAGTTTTTGCTTTCCATTTTAATCGTCTGCAATAAAACAGACCATAACTAATGATGGATAATTTATTTAAGCAACCTTTTGGATGTAAAAAATGATGGTTCCTTCCAGTTAGCAATGTATGTTCTTGTTTAACTAAGTGGACTGCAATATGTGTGAGAGAGAAATTTGTAAAGTGAAACATACATCTTGCACAGTTGCACTGATAAGACTGGGAATACAACATTTCTCTCCTTCTCTGTAAACATGAACCTTCTTAAATGCATTCCTGGGCTATTATTATGCATTGCCTTCATCTTTTGCAACCTTTTGACGCTTTGGAAAGCCCCTGCTAATTTGTTTTTGGCAATCTGTCTTAGGGATTTCACATTTTAAATTCAATACAGATTCCATCTGCACTAAATGAGTAGGCTAGCGATGGACTCAAATGCTTAACACATGGTCAGTTCTTTAAGCAATAACTTGGTACTGAAATTTGCTGCCTGTATGTAATTTCAGTCAGGAAGGGTTGGTCCAGGCACAGACAAGACATGGAACTGTCTGCTGAATTAAAACATACTGGATTGGATCCAGACTTTAATACAATTAGGATAGACCTGTTGAAATAAATGGTGCTAAGTAACTCTATGTCTGGTTCTGTTCCATGATGAACTCTTTAAGCATTTGTTCACATATTATCCCGAGCCTCTCATTTTCCTCACAAGACCATGTGAGGTCAAACTGATGTTCAAACACTGAATTCATGCTGCCACAGCAATTGCATTCTTCTTTGAATACATATGAAGACGTAAGCCATCATTCAACAGTGTATGTCTGCAGGATCTCACTACTCTCCCTACAGGCAGTAAGCCTGTCCTTACTTCTGCATCTCTTCATGCACCTGGTCTGGGTGACTGAGCAACCCACTGAAATAGGTTTCTTACCACTCTGGAGGCCTGAAGCTGAGTGGGATGGGGAAGAGAGTAATGACCCCAATGGGTGCTGTATGCCTTTTGGATTTTAGTTTTTTGAATGTACGGCCTTTGAGAGTCTACTTGTCGTCCCAATGGTTCGTATGAAATTCAAAAACTGTTAGTCAACAACTCTTGGGGAAAGAGAAGAACTTGCCATTTAGCCCCGGGGAGGGGGAAACAGACATGCACGTTGGAGAAACTCACAGCACAGTGCTATACATATTTAGGTAAAGGTTCCCCTTTACATTTAGTCTAGTCGTTTCTGATTCTAGGGCATGGTGCTCATCCCCCATGAATACATATTTACTAAGAAGCAAATGTGACTCTGTTTGGTAAGGCATATGCCTGAACCAGAGACTTAAAAGACTGGGGTAGGTCTTCAAGATTGGTGGCTCCAGCCTGGATTGTGTTATTGTTATTCAAATAGATAAATATTGGAATTAAGACCTTTGAAGACTGGTATGTAAAGGATTTGGAAATGAATGTTTTATTCTGGCAGAACTTTGATCATTCGGTTCATGAAATCCTTCAGTGTATCATATTTTATTAAGTTAATCGTTTAACATTTCAGTTTGAACTGAACTCTGAGTATCCCATAACAAACACTGGTACATTGTGTATTTAATGGGGAAGTGTTAACTTATCTTTAAAACAATCCCTGGTGAAAAGCCACTTAACTTGCAGATCTCTTTCAAGAGAACATGTATGAGCATATTATTTAGTACTGTTCAAAAAGCAAGATAATGTTAACTTACTACTGTGAAAAAGAAACATAAGACTCCATCAGACAGACATCTGTCCCAGTGTTTGGTGTGCTGCGGGAATGGTTTGGTTCACCTTTTTTTCCTGAGGATCAGATGATGTACTCAGTAGAGCAAGCCAATCTGTTGCCAGAGCATCCCAACACTATTTTGAGGGTTTGTTGTTGTTGTTGTTGGTAGGTTCACTATAGTTTGCTCCATTTCCAGCATGTGTTTGCTGGGAATGGACCAAGAAGTGAACCTTAAGCTGTCAAGGCTCCTTCTGCTATCAGTTTCCAATATCATGAAGTGACTTAATAAGGGAGCCCATTTCAGGATATCAGCAAATTGAACACTTCCCCCTGCTCCTCAGAGGGAGGGGCAGGGGAAGTGAAATTAATTGTTTTCTACTCTGCTTGATTGTTACTGATACACTGCCTCACTTAGATTACATTTATTTATTTTTCTTTGCCTTGTTTGGCATGCTGATTGAGAAACTGCCCACAACCAAATCGATGGTTGCAAGGAGTGTCTTGATCAGCATTTCAGACACAGATTTAGCTGTGGGCAGTTTCTCAATTGTCAATTCAGACAAGGCAAAGAAAATAATTTTTAAAATTTAATTAAAAGCTAAATTGGTTTGGTTCACCTTTTTCTGATGATTTAGTTTTAAATTAGATAAATTTAATCTAATCTGATCTTAAATTAAATTTAACATTTTAATTTAAATTAAATTTAAATTCTAATTTGAAAATTTTAATTTATTTTAAAATTTAATCTAAGTAATGCAGTATATCAACACTGGTCCAGCAGAGTTTTAAAAATCGATTTCACATTCCCTGCCTATCTACTGAGGATCAGGGGAAGTGTTCAATTTGCTGATATTCTGAATTGGCTCATTTATTAAACCACAATCTCAGAGATTGACAGCTGAAGGAGCTGGACTAAACAGTGTCACTTAAGGTCCATAGGCCATTTGGATGTGAGGATTTCACTAAATGGCATACCACACCTCCACCTGATCTCAAGGACCCTATTTAGACTACACTAGCCCACTCCAAAAGGGACAGTGTAGATGAGTCTGTATCATACTATCATGCTAAATAAAAGTTGTTGGCTTCAGTGCAATGCCTTCTCCATTTTTAGATAGATTTTCATTATGCAAAATAATATTGGTTTGTAAACTAAGAGAAATACATTTTTTGGAAACAAAAAGAATCTGTTGTCAGTAACGTCTACTGCCTGTGGAGTATGGAGGGCAGTTGAGAGTGCAGCTACACAGCAGAAAAAAGCCACATTGATCAGCTGTGAATTCACACCTGGGAAGTTGGGTTTTTTTAAATTTAATTTATACCCCACCTATCTGGTTTCCTTGTGTACCTTTGCTTTAGCTGACCCCAAAGGAGTCAGCAGAGGGAGAGAGAAAGAGGAGGAAATTGACAATCAGCCTTTGCTTGTAACCTCTGCATTGTAACCTGATGTATCCCTCTGAAACTTTCAGCTCCTCCACCCAAAGTTGTCCAAGTGTTTATCTGAAACAACTACCTCCCATATTCTCTTGCAGCCACTTAGTCCTGAAATGTCTTTCCAGAAAATCTTCATGATCCTTTCTTTCAAATTTTTCCTTATATCCCACCTTTTTTGGAAAGTCTTTGGTAGCACAGCTTAATCTTCATCCCTGTTGAAGCTACTCCCAATACATTCACCTCCATCTTCCTCTGCTTCCTTCTTATGTCAAATGCAAGACCGTAAACTCCCAAGGGTCAATATCTGTCATTTATTTCTCCAAAATTGTCAGATGCATTGGGGAGAGACATACAGAGACAGAAAGAGAGCAGTATTGCAGCGGTGCCTCTCTAGTCAGTTACCCCGCATGGCAGTTTTTTCGCTAGACATTGACTTTTTGCGATCGCTATAGCGATTCGCAAAACAGTGATTCCTATGGGGGAATTTTGCTGGCCAATGTTTGGTCCCTGCTTCACAAACCGATTTTTGCTAGACAATGATTTTGACAGCTCCCTCTGTGCTTGCAAAATGGGTGTTTTCAGGACCTAAGCTTCGCAAGACAGCTATTTAAACAGCTGATCGGTGGTTCACAAAGCGGCTTTCCTATGGCCGATCTTTGCTACACAATGACGATTCTTCCCTATTGGAATGCATTAAACAGGTTTCAATGCATTCCAATAGGGAAATGCTTTTTGCTAGACAATGATTTCGCTAAACAGCGATTTCAATGGAACGGATTATCATTGTCTAGCAAGGCACCACTGTACTAGAAACTGATACAAATTTTATTTTAATGAAGAGTGGTTTAACCTGTCAGTTTCTCTTAAACATTTAGGAAATTTTATATTCTTTTCCAGCTGCTGCATGTCCAGCACTGAAAACAGAAGGTCATCAATTTAACCATATCTACAAAGAAAATTTCGATGTTTCAGGTGAGTTTTCTGTAAGAAAATTAAAACCAGACTAGTGTTCAACATTATTTCAACATTAAATAAGTTTGTCAAAATGGACAGTATCTGTAATTTTTAGAAACATGCATTAAAGCAGAACATTTTATTTCTGAGTGTCACAGCTAAGACACTTGCATTCATCTTTTAATTTTCCATTCATGCTTGTTGTAATTAGCATGAGATTAGCATTCATTTCTGGAGAGCATTTCATTCTAACTCATTCAGATGGCAAAAGGAAGCAATGAGCACATTTCTTTAGAAGGCTGTCAAGTCAAGTGCTGGGGGAATTTCACACTAGAACGCTGACTACACAGGCTGTTTAGCCAGCTATTTGGAGGACTGCAGAGACAGGCTGGGGCACTCTTTAAGACAGCAGACAATGTCTTTGCTAGAGCACACCAACCTGCCTCCAGAGTATTCCTACCAGCACCTTTCTGGCCTCTGTTAAGAGGCTTCTGCTTTTCTGGTGAGGATAGGATCACTCTGGTTTCAATTGGTTCCAGTGTGTGTGATCTCTGGAGCTGATACAAAGCAAGCTTTCCTGTTTTCAATTTGCCAATGTCATGAAGTGGCTTAACCAGAACAAGAAACAACAACAATCCTAAAACTGCAGAGCTGGAAGGGACCCTATGGATCATCAAGTCCAGCCCCTGTCAAGATAAGCAAGCCGCTACTGGCAAACTAATCACTTACCCTGCTTGACAAGAGGACAGGGGGAGTGGAATTTTCTTTCTTTTTAACTTACATAGACTGTTGCTGATGCACTACATCAGTTATTAAACATTTTTATTTTTAAAAAATCTTTTCTTTGCCTCACTTTAAAGGATGAGCCGAGAAACTGCCCACAATCAAATCCATTGCAGTGGCTTCAGCAGCAGACAATTTCTCAATTGGCCCTTTAAGAGAAGGCAAAGAAAAGTGTATGTGTGTTTTGTTTTTAAAAAAGAAATATATATAACCGGTGTAGTGCATCAGCAATAGTCTAATAAATTGCTGTTCTAATCAGGTTGTAACCAAGCCCAAACATTCTTCAGTGGCCCACACTACCTTGCTCCCTGCTGCTAGTGTAGCCATACCCTAATATTCCAGAGTAAGTGAGCTCTGAACGTTTTTGCGACCCAAATCACGGGATTTGAAATAGCCTGTCAGTTCTTAGTCTAGGAAAGCTGATAAGCTTATGGCGCAAATCAAGGCAGCTTTTCTAAACTGTATTATATGAACAGTAAATGATATCCCTCTTGTATTTTTCAGGTTTTGATTTAGCAGAAAGCTTTTCTTTGAGGCAAATTTCATGTGGGGCTGGAAAACCCTGCTTTAAGTTGGGAAATGCACCTCTTATCAGAGATTCGCAGTAAGTAGTACTATACATTACCTAGTATGAATACACAGAATTCGTCTTTTTTTTCCTGACTTCCTTTTTATTCCATTGTTCAGTCCCACCTTTTCTTGCAGTGATTCATTGCTTCCTCTGCAGATGTTCCTTTTGTTCGCAGAGCAGTCTTTTTTTCCTAGGATTTTTGGGCAAGCATATGGACTGCTTCAGTATTTTTCCCCTTGAAAAAAATGAAATCAAAGAAGTGAGACATCAAGGAATTAAACTGAAATCAAATGTTGATGGAAATACAATTGCTTTATGTGCTAGTTGCCCAGAATATCCTGAAACCCAATTCCATTTTTGACTTAATCCTTGTTGGACTCTAATTTTTATTTCATGGTTTCCTATCATAGTAGGAAGAAAGAGGTCCATGTGGCAAAGAAGATTTTTATTTCCTATTTGTTGAAAGTTTCCAGGAAGCCATTCAAATGATGAGGTCCAACTGTTCTTCTTCCTTCTCATTCACAGTTGGCCAACTTGTACTTTTTAGGTGGTTGTTCCTAAAAAAACCAACAACACACACACTGAGGGATCAGTGGCTTGGAAAGAAGAAAAATGATCGTTCTAATGTTTTGCATATATCTCTATTTCAATGCACCAAATTCACAAACTATTTTGGAACCCCCCCCCTTTTTTTTCTTTTTGGCTTCTAGCAGTGGTAGGCAGCTTTTGAACAGGAAACTCATTTTTAAAACGTGAATTGCTGCCCCAGGAATTTTTGATTGGCCACCCCAATAATTTTTGAAGCCTGGATTATAAGGAAAGATCTCTAGGAATACAAACAACTATCATTACAACACTTTTGTCTCAGTTGCCCAGATTATCTGTGTTCAGTAGATCATTTTTGTTTATTTTGTTTATTTTTGGCTGC